CCTCCTGGATTACAGGGGGGTTATTTGGCTTCCTGTCTCTGTCTACCAGTTCTGGAAGCCAGTTGTCCTGAGGACAACCTGTCTTACTGTTGAAAACTGAGGCAAAGAAGGTGTTAAATATCTCAGCCTTTTCCTCATCTTTGATAACTATGTTCCCCCTCGTGTCCAACAAAGAATGGAGGTTTTCCTTGCCCCTCCTTTTGTTATTGATGTATCTGTAAAAGCTTTTCTTGTTATCCATAACTGAAGTGCCTGGATTGAGTTGAAATTGTGCCTTTGTCTCTCTAATTTTCTTTCTGCATGACCTAACTATATTCCTAAACTCTTCCTGAGTAGCCAGCCCTTTTTTCCATAGTCGGTAAGCCCTCTTTTTTCCCCTAATTTCCTTCAAAATCTCCCTGTTCAGCCAGGCTGGCCATCTTCCCCCCCCAGCTTGCCTTTCAGCACACTGGGACAGCCTGCTCCTGTGCGTTCAAGACTTGCTTCTTGAAGCATGACCATCCCTCCTGTACCCCTTTGTTTTCAAGGGTTGTTTCCCAGGGTACACTCTGAACTAGTCTTCTGAGTAGGCTAAAATCTGCCCACCAGAAGTCCAACGCAGAGGTTTTACTGATGGCCCTCCTTGCATCCCTGAGTATTGAAAACTCTATTATTTCATGGTCACTGTGCCCCCGATGGCCTCCAACTACTACATCTCCCACCAGCCCCTCTCTGTTTGTGAACAGAGGGTCTAGATGGGCCCCACCCCTGGTAGGCTCATTTACCAGCTGGAGCAGGAAATTATCCTCTATATGCTCTAGGAATCTCCTAGACTGCCTCCTCTACACTGTGTGGAGTTCCCAGCAGACATCCAGCAGGTTAAAACCACCCCAGGGAACAAGGGCTGGTGATTTTGAGACATCTGCCAGCTGCTTGTAGAATAATTCATCACCCTCATCATCCTGGTTGGGTGGTCTGTAACAGACTCCCACCAGGATGTCATCCATGTTGGCCTTCCCCCTGATTCTGATCCACAGGCACTCAACCTTACTGTTACTGACTTCAAGTTCTACAGAGTCAAGAGGCTCTCTAACATACAGAGCCACCCCTCCACCTCTCTTACCCTGCCTTTCCCTTCTGAAGAGCTTGTAGCCACCCATGGCAGCACTCCAGTCATGCGAGTCATCCCACCACGTTTCCGTGATGGCGACTACATCACAGCTTTCCTGCTGCACGATGGCTTCCAGCTCCTCTTGTTTGTTACCCATGCTGTGTGCATTGGTGTGCATGCACTTCAGCTGGGCTGCTGATTTCACTTCTAACTCTGGCTTTCCACCCTTAGGCTCATCTCTGGAGAACCTGGTTTCAACCCCTTCCCCCTTCAAACCTAGTTTAAAGCCCTCCTGATCACCCTGACAACTTATGGGCTAGAGTCCTTCTGCCCTTGCTAGATTAGATGAAGCCCATCTGACTCTGGCAGGCTAGGTACATAGAATTTGCCCCATGGTCGAATAAAAACAAAATTCTGCTGGTGGCATCAATCCTTTATCAATAAGATGGGTTTTCCTACTCCTCTCCTCATTCATCCCTGCTACTGCAGGAACACCACTTGTGCTTCTGTTCCTTTTGAGGTCTCCTGGACCACAGCAGGCTGTGACCAGCATCTCCCTCTGAGGGGGGCCTCTCAGAGCCAGCAAACTCTCAAATTTGCTATACTTGGTGGACCACTAAACGATGATGACAGATCCTGGGCTGATACATGCAGTATTTGAGGCTCAACCCTTTGCCCATTGAGAAGATGCAAAGGCATCTGACATGAGTCCTTCACTGAACTCAAGGGGAATTTTTCACAGGTGGATACTCTTTCAGGCCTGTGTGCCTCTGAGAGTGAACAAGCTAAAGCAAATGTACTATGAATGTCGCTCTCTTAGATTCTCAAATACTTTAGATCTGTAAGTTATGCCTATAAGTGAGTTACTGCTGTGCCCATAGTAAATTCTATATGAATCCTTTGTTAAATTAACTGAAGCTATCAATTAAGTGCTGTTAAGTACTGTTAAACTTTTAGGCCTAAACTGTTGGTCAGTTCTGGGGCTCAAGTTTAGCCAGGGTGTCTACTCAATCTTGTGCCTTGACATAGCTATTTTTTGGGCTGACTTTGTTTTTTGAGTGATTGATTTTAGATCTTAGTTTGCTTTTCCTCTGCGTGCTTTAACCACCTAGTAAGCAGTAGAGTGAACAATGCCAATGAACTTCATTGTGCTTTCATTTTTATATTAAACCTGCTTTTGCTGATACCTTTGCCAGTGATTCTTCAAGCAACCTTAAAACATTCATTTGCAACAGGCCCTGCTGGGCCAAGGTGCCACCCATGTCCCACACAGCAACAGCAGACAGACACGGGAACATGCGGCACAAATCCCCAGCACACAGACAGGAGCTGTCAGGACTAGGCAGGAGAGATCCATGCTTTTCATTGGCCACAGTTCTGGAGCCAGACACACCACCCTTGTTTAAAGGCTTACATAAAACAGGGTTTATCAACCCAGGCCTGAAAGCCACTAGATCTAAAAGTGACATTCTGCTGGGTAAGAGCAAAAAAAGCAAACAATAAGGCAGTGGCAACTTGTGATGCCCACTCTCCACCTCTACTGAAGCATGAGCAGAACCCGGACCAGGGTGATCGTACCTGGCTCTGCCTCTCGGAGCAGCCACGGCCGGCGCACAATAACAAACCCCTTCTGCCGTTTTGGAGCAGGACAGCCTGATGACACCAGCAGGTCTTGCGGCGTGTTTTCGTTGCCCAGCTTGTCTTTCTTAAGGACAGACACTCCCATGCTCGAGAGCAACTCCGGGTTCTTGCTGGAGTCCCAGTCCAAGCTGGTGGAAACATTAGTGCTGGAGGATGGGATCTCCTGGAGGTGTTTCCTGCAGACAGAACAAAACCCACAGGCTCTGAGGGTACCGCCAGACCGACCGAACACACGACGGGGACGGTCGCACGGCAGCATTTCAAACTCACACGTAACCCACATCCACACGCGGGGCGATTAAACGGGGGATCTGTGGGCACAGGAAGCACCAGCAACGGCCACAAGCAGGCGTGTTCTCGGTCTGGCACATTCGGGGTGAGATCCCGCCAGGGATTGAGCGCGCCCCGTTCCCGGATGGGGCGGGCGAGGGGACCGACGGAGGCGGCGGGCACGGCTCGACCCTCGCGGCGGCCTCACAGCCCCCAAAACCGGGTCAGGCTGGGACCCCCGCACGGGCAGCGGGGCGGGATGGACGGGGGGAACGGCAGGCGTTCGATCCCGACTGCCGCCGCTGCGGGCGGGAGAGAAGCGGCCCGGGGATCCCGCGCACGTCCCGCACCCCGGGGGCGCGCACACACACGCACACGTGTGGCCCCACACCGCATCCGCGCTCAAGAACCCGCTCCCGCTCTCCCAGGACCTGCTCCCGCTCCCCTGGGGTCCCATTCCCGCTCCCAGCGCCCGGGGTCCCCCCGCACAGCCCACCACCCCTAAGCAGCTGGGGGGACCCACGCCCTCCTCCCGCGAGGGCTCACGCGCAGCCCGCCAGCGAGACCCCCGTCCCCGTGTCTCCGTATCCCAGTATCCCTGTACGCCCGTGTCCCGGTACCTGTACATGGCGCTAGGAGGCCCGCGCGCGCCGCCGCGCGCCCCGCGCCTTTTAGCACCGCGCCATCCCCGGGCCGACCGGAAGCCGCGGGGGGAGGAGGGGGAGCGGCCGCGGAGGCCGCCGGGAGCTGTAGTTCCTCCACCCCTCCGTGCCCGCCCCGGGGCGGGGCCGAGCGGCGAATGGCGGCGGCCCGGACGCGGCAGGAGCCGGGAGCAGCCGGAGGTGCCTGCACGACGCCCTGAGTCCGGTGCCGGCCGCGATGGAGGGCGGCGGAGCCCCGCGGGGGGCGCGGTGCTGAGCTCGGGCTCGGCCGCGGTGAGGCGGCGGCGGGCGGGACGCGGGGCCGGGCGGAGCGGGGCCGCAGTGCCGAGTCACGATAGAGGGACGAGCCACGGCCCCAGGTGGGACGCGGGGTAAGCCCGGGCACGTCCCTGTTGTGAGGGAAGGGTGGGAGCGGGGCAGCGCTGGGAGCAGCGGGGGGGTCGATGTTCGTTCTTGCCCCGAGTGCTTCCCTCCCTCGGGGGCCCAGGACACGTCCGTGCCGGTGCCGCGTGTGAGCCCGGTCTGTGCCGCACAGGCCTGTGCACACCCGGCCCTGGCAGGGATGGCCTGGCGTGGAGCACCGGGATCGCGCATCTCCCCTCGAAAGGTGTTCTCTGGGAAGACCTGGAGCTGCCCGTGTTCGCTGGTCCCGTCCCCAACCACGCGCATTTAAATCCTGCAGCCTTTATGCCAGCCTGTCTTTCGGCAGTGCAGCGCTTCCGAAACTACTTGTTTTGAAATTGTTGGGAATGGAAGACTAATCCTGAACACCCACTCTTAGTCAGCCCGTTGCTTGCAAATACTGTCCTTTGTTTACTGCATAACGATGGAGAGACGTGCCGGTAAAATTGGGATGGTGGTACAACCCGTGGCGAATAGTACACAGCGATTAAGTCGGATACAGAGGATGATGTGTCTCAAATTGACATTAACATAACCTTAAAAAAATTATTTTTTTAGCCATTTCCAGTTTTAGCTGAAGTCACGGAACAGTTGTTCAAAGGTTATTGAAGCAGACAATCAAATGAAAAAGAGGTGGGGTTTTAGTGAAAAAAAAAAAAAAAGTCAGCTGTATTTATTTCACGTTTCCTGCAGCCTCTTTTTTCTGTGTGAATCACATCACTTTTCTCCGTTAATGTCTGGGAAATCGAAAGATGGTTTTGCTGAAAGGGATAAAATGCAATTATTTTTTACAACCTCGGAGTTACCAGACAGTCTGTTTGCCTGAATGCAGCGTTGGGGCAGCAGTCATGTGACTGCTTTACTGACACCTGCTTTGTGTGAGTGCATTAGCGTGGTAGCCCAGGTAGCGATTTCTATTCTTTTTTTAGTCTGATTGCATCTGCACAGCGTTTGTGTCTGATTCTATTTTAGTTCCTCTGATAAGCAAGTTATTTTCTTCAGTGTGTTATTTGCAGAGTACTTCCCTAAACCCTTTAAAAGTATCAGCCTCTGTGGTACTTATATATTAAAGGTTGGACTCGATGATCTTGGAGGTCTTTTCCAACCTTAATGATCCTTTAGTAGAGGGCAGGGCAGTGCTATGTAAAGTAAATACCTTCCCATGGTTTTATGCTGATGGTCCCTGCTTGCATTTGAACACAAAAATTTTAATGTTCCTTGGTCAAGAATTTGTCTTTTATTTAGTGCTTCTGTGGAGAACCTGGTCTCCCACCATACCAGAGATTAGCACTATTTTGAGTGGTATCAGCACAGCATTTTATTATTTTTTTTCTTGTCATTAGAGGATAGAAAACTTTTTTCCCTAAATATCGATACACTGTCAATTAACTGTTTAGTCAATTTAAAATTTTGCTTCATTACAAGGTAGTTAAACTGATAGATACTAATAAAATACTGGTCAGTACACAGACTGACTAGAGTTTCTTGGAAGAACAAAGCCATGTAAATTGCATTTTTGATTAATCTCAGAGGTTGTTTCTCTGAAATAATGCAAGCAGATAAGTTCTTTGGTCAGTTTTCTTAGGCAGTTTGTGGCTGTTTTCTTTCTTTAGACAGTTTTCTCACTGTGCTGAGATAAAGCAGCTCTTTGACTGTTGTCTGCTCATAAATACTTACCATTTCCTCAAGCTGCAAGGGCCAATGTGTAATAATGAAGTAAACAAAAAAACCCAAAAAAACCACAAACCCAAATCCCCCAAACCTGAAACCAAACAAAAAAGAAATCCCCATAGCACAGTAAGCAGACTTGGATATGAAAATGGCTGAAGGGATTATTTTTATTTTTAAGAGTCCTGAAATGTGAAGTTAGCCCACTTTGTTGTTTAAAGATGGAAGTGTCAGGGGCTCTTAGTGTGGGGCAGGTCTATCACTCCGAAAGGTTTAATCATGTCTGTAAAGTGAAGTCTTTCTTTACGGTTCTTAACAGCATCATTTTGCAGAGTAGGGCAGGCTTCCAAACACAGGTGTTGGGCATCCTGCTTTTCTTTTGCCATGTGAAATGTGCTGGTAGAAACTCGATAAGAACTAGTAGATTATTCCCTGTCAGAAAGGCAAAAGGTCATCTCTGAGCTGGTCATTGATATATTGCTGGAGATGGCAGCTTTCACTTTATGCTTGCAGCTGAGTTGTGAATTCAGCTTGAGGTGGCAGATGCTGTTGCACAGGTGCTTGTTTCTGTGTGCTGAGGCTCTCAGTTTTCTTTATTGCTGTCTCTGATATCTCTTTCATAGTTTGGCAACTTTCATGGGAACAGATTTTTTTCAGATGCAGTTATGGTGTTTAAAATATAGAGCAAAGCTGCTTGTTTTTTTCAGGTGTTTTAACTGAAATATCCAAGATGTCTAGAAATGTAACTTTTCCAGATCTGTTTGAGCTCTGCTTGACAATACTTCAAGAAAAAAAGTCTGTAGTAGTCTAGAAATGGCTGAGGTACCAAAGATGAGAAAACCAGAAGCATGGTGGCTGTCCTTATTACTAATATTTGAAGGACAGAGAGAGCTATAGATTGGCAGACTCCTCTGCTGCTTTTTGAATTTCTGTCACAAAAGCTATTTGTAAGCATCTAGAATGTAATAGCTGAGTAAAAGACAGCATCAGTTTGTCAAGGACAAATGGTTGAAATTATCTAATTTATTTCAGTGGTGACTGATAGACCTACTGTCAGTGAGAGGATCAGTTGATGTCTTACATTTGGCTTAATAGGACTTTTGATTCTGTTCCTTAGGATGTTTTTGCTTGGGAAGGAAAGCTGGGAAGAGCTACTGTTGTGACTAAGAAGGCCAGTGCCTTGTCAACTACTCTTCATGGTTTTCACAGTTTTCCTAATGAAATAGTGTGATGATTAAAACTTAAGGTGGCACAAAACTAGGAGAAATTTCAGGTCTTTTTGAGTGTGGTAATGGAAATCAAAATGCCTTAAGGATTCAGAAACTTGTGAGAAGGGAATGGGTACAAATGAGTAGAGTTTTGTGTTTGTGCTTAAGCAGGAGCAATCAGCTACAGAAATACATGATAGAGAAAAATTTATTGGAGGAAAAGAATAATAAGCTGAATCTGTGAAGGGAGTATCACTCAGGTTTTAGTTCTATTTATGCTTCTCAGTAAGGCATGTGAAGCAGTATTTGCCTCAGTTCAGGCCTTCTCAGGCATTAGCTGGGAGACTGGGGGGGGGCAGTTCCTGATCTTTGTAGAAGGAAGTGGGTAAGCTGGGGAGAGTGTCAAGGGCAACAGTAAGAAATTTGCAGAAAGTGTGATAAGTAGGCTGACTGGGAAGGATTGAAGCACCAATTACATTAGTCTACAAAAGGAACAGTCTACTGGTTAAATGTTTTCCTGCAAAGTTTGAAAAAACCCAAACAACTGGAGTACCGTCTGGTCTGGGATTTCTGATTAAAGGGGTATTGGAATCCACTTTAGTGGGATCAAGGTCCTTTCTTCACAGATACACTCTTTTCTTTTTAGCCCTTCTTTAAGAATATAATATTGGAGTGTCTTTGATAAATTTGATGCTATGTAAAAGCTATAAGAAAGTGTGGTTTTTTTCATTCTCTGCGGTTTCATTTAGTAACTTGAGTATTTCTGTACCAGGCAGAGTAGTTAGTTCATTTGTAATGTAGATGGTCATGAGTGTGGTTTGTCTTGAGGTTGGCAGAGTAATTTAATACTGTTGATAGTAGGGAGTCTCCATGGGAATTAAGTCTGAACCGAGCCCTTCCCAATGCTTGCAAAGAGTTATTAGCTGGGTAAAATTAAAAAGTTTACTGATTTGTTCTGTGTCTGAAATGCAGCAAGAAAACTGCCAACACAAGAGCATGTCCTTGTCTTTTTTTTGGTTAAGTTGAACTTCCAGTACCAGAGTTTCAGCCTTTGGTCTTATTTGTATTAATATGTAGTTGCCTGGTTCTTTGGAAACGGAGTATTCCAATAAATACTCCTCCATTCATAGCGAGAGATTGTGTTACTTTGTCATTACTTTAATAGGAGCATCTTCTAAGTCATTTAAGGTTGTGCAATACAAGAGAACTCTTTTGAAGTAGTTTATTTATCTCAAGAGAACATTTTTTTAGAGATTCAGGAATTTCAGCTAGCAGGTTGCTAGGGAGCTGTGTGCTAATAGTGAGAAGGTTGTCTAAATAAAGTGAAGAAGCAGAATGATGGATAAGGAGCTTACCTTTCTTTAGCTAACAACCAGGTTCAGAGGCAAATGCTGCTTTCCACAGGAAGACATGGCTTTATAGCCTACAATACTGTATTTTAAGGTCTGATTCTAGTAGCACAGGTCCTGAATGTGTCTGCCCTGTTAGGCTGGATTTAGTTCACAGGAAGAGCTCCTCTCAAGCATTACATTTCTCATTTTGTGGACTTTTTTCCATTTAATCTATTTATGTGGAGAGCTAGTTTTAAGTTGTTTCTATCTAAAAATTTAAACTGTTTGTGTTTACATTAATTCAAAATAACTGTTATTAATCACACTCTTGTCAAAAAATAGGCCTTTCATTTTGTGTTTTTAGATGAAAATCACAAGGACAAACATAAAGATGTAGTTTACTGATAACTGTAAATCCACTTCTGTCTTTGAAAGTGAGTTAAGTTGTGGTAGGACTCAATTCCCTCTTTGTTTTAGCCTATCCAGTGCATTTTTATAGTACTTCTGGAAGTTCCCTCATGGTAGTAGCCGAGTGCAGCATCTTGCACAAAAACTTTTCACCCTCTGTTTCGATAGCAGCTTTTTAGGTGTGACTGTAGTAAAACTTCATTACTAATAAAGTGTATGCCGTATAATTTCTTTTGTTTATGTAGCAAAGGTGTGGCTATAATGGGCACCCAAAGCTACACGTCAGATAGCACTGCCTTAATGTAAGTCGATACGTAATTGCTTTGTATTTTATTTTTGTGGAATTTGCTGCAATACTGTAAATACAGAAGACTGTTTTCTGAGGAAACAAGAATGGTACGATAGAATAGATAAGGACTTGCTTAGAATAAGTGATTGAGAAATAGGTTAGATATCCTGGGTTCATGATTTACAAAATATCCAGCCAAAATGTAGTACAGAGAGGTAGAAAGGGCATGCTTTGGCCTGACAGAAATGTTAATAATTTGATAAACATGTTCGATGAAAGACAGAAAATAAAAAGTGTGTGTATCTTTGACAAAAAACAGAAGGGTTACTTGAGTTATTTTCAGAATATGAGATCTGTGTGCTGATATGGAGGAAACAGACTACTCTTACTGTTTAAAATTCAAATGTGAAAAAACAAATTTTTTGGGGAAAAAAAAAATCACAGAGTAATTGTCCTGTGTGTCCTCAAGGAGGTAATGGCATCACAAAGTTTGGAATTTTTTTAGTGCAAATAGGACAGTTTTCACTGCTTAGTGCCCTCATGCATAACAAATCTGCTTAAGCAGTATACTGAGAAATTAGTAAAAGAAATGGTTCACTTTACCAAATTATGAAGGTATTTAAAAGTAAATCAAGAGACATTTTAGCAGTAGCATTTCTTTTAAATCTCCAGAAAAGTGAAAGTACTGAAAGTCTAACAGTGGGGAAGCCATTTCAAAAACTATTTCCCTTAAATCAAACCAGTTGACATAATCTTGATGGAGAAGCAAGACTGGCCACAGTAATAAACTTTTTTTTTTTTAATAATGTTTGAGATGCCTGTGGTAAAGTGATGCTTATTGAAAAGGTCTGAAGCAGTTTAACTAATGATGTAACAAGTCAGTGAAATGTTCTGTAATAGATTTGTGCAGCTCACTGTACCTTTGATAATAGCATGTCTGTATGAAAATGTATGAAGTTTTTAGGCACTCTTAGCAGTCCAGACTGTAACAGGGGAGCTAAACACAGAAAGATGAGCAAAGCAAAAATGTATTGTGGCAAGACTAATACCAAATGAATTGACACCTTTGTTTTTCTGAAGATGAACAAAAGAGGACTAGGAAGGTGAACTGAAGTTCTTGACATTTCAAACCTAAAAGAGGTAACATCATTAAGTAAGCTAACACATAATTTGCTGCATTTTTATACTCTGTTAACTCTGACCTAAAGAATTTAAATATGTAGTTGAGGTATGGTTAATTAAAAAAGTTGTTCATTAGCTTTTCAGAAACATTTAATTTAAACATTTAACCCTTTGTCCAAATTAGTTGATTACTTCTAAAGGGGAGAAAAAGAGCAGAATAAGTTTTCCTCTTGAAATTTATACTGGACTTAAAGATAGGCTAGTAGTCTGTTCAAGGACAGGGATTTGACTTCTGGATCTGTTGTATATCAAGATGATGAACAAGAGTTCTCCTGATACATTGCTAGAAATGACAACATTGGAATGACATGATATTTTGATTTCTGTGGAGGACTTCAGAGCACCTTGCTGAAAATCTTGTTCTACGTCTGACCAGAGTTCCAGTCATGTGAAATACAAAAATTCTGCTGATGTTTTAAAATATCCACCGAACAACTTTTTTCTGCCTAAGTTTATTCCAGAGATTTTAATGTAGTTCCATGTCTTTTTGCCTTACAGTTCTGATCTGCTTTCTCCAGTGAGCTGCGCTGTGTGGCTGGAGCAGTTGTTCAACAATGAGTGGTGCAGCACTGGGCCTTGAGATAGTGTTTGTCTTTTTTCTGGCCTTATTCCTACTTCATCGTTATGGGGACTTCAAGAAACAGCATAGGCTTGTGATCATAGCAACATTGTTGGCATGGTATCTCTGCTTCCTTATTGTATTTATACTGCCTCTGGATGTCAGTACGGTAAGAAACATGAAAGACTTTCTGCTGGTTGCATAAAATGTGTATGGTATTTTTTCTAAATTACTATTTCCAAAAAACAATCTCTTAAACAGCAAAGAAATTTTCCATGTAGTATCCTATTAAATTAAACATTTGTTATCTTTATGTGTGACAGTGTCTGTGGTTATAATTAATTTTACTGTTTGTTGATCTCATCAGATAAAAAAATCTATTTCAAACATATTAAAATTTTGTTATTTGTTAATAATCAATTTTTTTATCCGTGTAGGCGGTATAAAGGCACTTTCAGCTTTTTACTTACATGCAGATTGCATGTTGTTTTGAGTATTTATTAGTATAATTGTTTCCAAATATAAACCTAGAATACATGGAATGTCTTTAAAAATGGGACTTGTTATTTTCAAGAAAATGCTGTACCTTTTTGGTCATTAATGCAAAATGAATTGTCTTTTAGACTATTTATAATCGATGCAAACTTGCTGTTAACTCCAGTCCTGCAGAAAGTAATGGCTCTTACGTTACTCTTGCTCCAAGGTACGAGCTACCTGTTTTTTTCTTTAGACTGTTTTTAAATAAGTATTTTATGGTTTTCTTTTTTTAATTGATTGGAGTGTATTGTGTTTTAAGACTAATAAACAAGTGTTATCTGGGTGATGCAACATTTGAAGGTTATAAGCATACAGGAAGGTGAGGGAAGAGGTGCAGACAAGTGCATCTGTATATGTTGGGAGTAGTTATATAGTAGTTCTGACTGATTACCCAACTATTGTTTTTTTATCACACTAGATTTCTTTTTTTTTTCTTTTTGTTAAAGCAATAGAACTAAGCATTTTGAGCAGTCTTGGTTATGAGGAGACACTTCGGTGAATGCTTATCTATGCCTTATGAATGAAATTAACAGACTTGTCTGATACGTAAGCAGTGTATCTAATTGCTTATTATAATTACATATATATAGTAATTGGAGTTATCTGAAATTCACTGTATTCTACCAAAGTAATGATAACCTGCTTTGTTGTCTTCTGGCAGGAAAAAAGTAATCCCCAAAACATGGTGAATGTAGATGAATGTGGGCTCGCTCTTTCCGTGGCCACTCATTCTTCACCCTCCCCTGGCTATTTCCCCATGCTGTAGATGTGTACAGTGTAGTTATCTGAGGTGATCAGAGCCTTTAAGATGTCAGTTGATATGTCCATGCAAAGTATTTTCAGGTTTGTTACCCCAAAGTGGAGGCTGTCTGGATGTTGTATATCCATGGAAGAACGGTGAAAGATAGACTCACTGGCACAATATTGCAATATTTATTTACGACCACCCAGTGTACGTTAATTAAACATAGTTAAGCAAATACCCAAGTTGAAAACTATTCAGTAACCTTTCAATTTACCTGTAGCTTCAGACAAACCCTTTTCATAGAATCATAGAATGCTTTTGAAGGGACCTTAAAGGTCATCTAGTTCCAACCCCCCCACTGTGGACACCTTCCGTTAGACCAGGTTGCTTAAGGCCCTATCCAGTGCACCCATGAACACCTCCAGGTATGGGGCATCCACAGGTTCTGTGGGCAGCCTGTGGCAGTGTCTCACCACTCTTACAGTAAGGAATTTCTTCCTAGTATCTAATTTAAACCTGCCCTCTCTCAGTTTAAAACCATTGCCTCTTGTCCTGTCACTCTCTGCCCATATAAAAGGTCCGTCTTCCTCCTTTTTATAACCCCCCCTTTAGGTACTGGAAGGTGCTATAAGGTCTCCCTGGAGCCTTCTATTCTCCAGGCTGAACAACCCCAGCTCTCTCAGCCTGTCTTCATGGGACAGGTGGAGAAACCTTTAGTCATACTACCTGTCATTCTATCATAACTTGATAGTTTTGAAAATATTTAGGCTGTGCCCATAAAATTTTACAACTCAGGCTTAACTAGTTTGACTCTGGAAAACACCAATTATTTATCATTAGGCAGTTCTATCTTAATTGACTTTATTGCCCCTTGACTCATCATTGCTTAATTACCCAGACAACTGTGTGATAAGTGTCTTAGTGAGGAGGGACACCTTGGCTTTTTTTTCTTTTTTTTTTTAATAAAAAGGCTTCTGTGGCTTTTCTGGTCTTCTGAAGCAAATGCTACCTGTTAGAAAACTCCTGGCTTAACAAATCAAAATTTGTGTAAGACTGACTGAACCCAGCTGAGTGGCAGAAGAAACAACTAATACACTTTTTGTACCACTGAATGCTCTAGGTGATGAGGTCCTTAGATATTTTTTAAAAGCCTATAAAACTAACTAAATTGAATGGTCTTCAGTCTTCAGAAATGTTTTTGATTTACGTGAAGTAATTTATGCCCAAAAAGAAAAATTATAACCTTGTAAATTGGTTGATTGAATATTCCTCTGTAATCTTTGAGCTTCTATTGTTTTCTCTAAGAAAGCTTTCTTGTCCAGACAGGTTATTTGGAGTTAGGAAAACAATATTTATTTTTAACTGGTGATTCAGTTTATTTCTTTCTGAGTAGTTAATCATTGACTACTTACTCAAATAGTGTTGCATTACTTTTCTGCTATTTTCAGAGACCTTTCTAGATAGGGAATTCATAGAAAATGTTTTTATACTCTTGGCTCTACAATTAACAATTTGCTTTGTTACATTGTTACAGCAAACAAAAATGTTTCAAACCTTGGAGTTATATTCCTAATGGAATTATGCCAATTTTCTGGCGTGTTGTGTATTGGACGTCTCAGTTTCTAACATGGTAAGTAAGGCAAAAGAATATGAATAAGACCATGATACAGGTATAATTTCTAAATGCAACATCTTAACAGTGATAGCATATTCTTTAGCAATGTGTATCACTATTGCAAAGAGCTCTGAAATCATATATTATTTGCTAGCACTGAAATTTCCATAATAATTACAGTACTAAATTGAACATACTCTTTTTTTCCTTGCTGTCATAGAAGCAAATTTCAGGTGGCAGCCATTTACTTTTGGTTCACTTTTGTAGTTGAAACTCAGAAATTTACACATAGATGTGTTTATGGATAGGTTGTCAGAAAAAAAAGGTTTAAGGCAACCAGATACCAAAACAATTTCATGAATAGGCTGGGTAATTTCTAAGTAATATTGTAAATTATTTTGTTTTATTTGGTATACTATATAAAGCTGTAGATACAGCTACAGCACAAAAATTGTCTGTGCTTTCGGGTTAGTTTAATTTGTGCTTACTGTTCAACTTGTCACTAAATAATTATTTTTGTAGTTCCGTCAAGAATATCAGGGCTGATAGTCAGTTCTTAGTTATCACAGGTTTTTTGTAGTAAAGCTGACTGTATTGTTTTTATCTCAGTCTTGGTTAAGGTTTGCCATCAGACAGGTACCTCTAGAATGAAAACATATAATAGCTAATTTCTTAGAAGCTTGGGAGCCTTAAGCTTTAACACCCCTGTCTCAGCATCCTGACACTGCTATAGTACTTTTGGGGGGGTTGGTTTATTGTTTTAGTTGAGTTTTTTGTTTTGTTATTGGTGGTGGTGGTTTTTTGTTTGGTTGGGGGGTTTGGTTTGGTTTGGTTTTTTTTTTTGTCTATTTGTTTCACTGATGGGATTTGGTTTTGTTTGCTTTTCTCCCAGGATTCTGCTACCTTTCATGCAGTCATATGCAAGATCAGGAGGGTTCTCCATTACTGGAAAGATTAAAACTGCGTTGATTGAGAATGCAATATATTATGGCACTTACTTGCTGATTTTTGGGGCGTTTTTAATATATGTGGCTGTAAACCCAAACTTCAATTTACAATGGTAAGATAATGTTGTAAGCACTTGCGTGAGTTCTTACATAATTGTCATTGATAATCTCTTCTGTAGATGAAATGAACCTTTTTTTTAAAAAAACAATTTTAGTTGATTTGATTTTTTGCTAGGCAGTTGGAAAGTTAAATTTTTATATGACAAGTGCTTTTTTGACTATTTATAGAAATTTGTCTTCTGGTTTTCCAATTTTGATACGTACAGCAGAGGAATCCTCTTGCATTTGCAATGGGTTTTTTTTCTCCTTAAAAACACATTCACACAGTTAGTGCAGAAAGAATCAGTGTTTTCAGAATAATATATTTCAAAAGTCAGTATTTTCTGTGTAGCACTTCTGTCTGCTGACTATTTAAAGTTGGTAAGGAAGGTTAAAATAATTGGCATTTATAATACTGCTAGTGGTCTTCTATACTAGATGGAATACAAATTTCTGAATACAATATTCTGAATACAAATGCCAGGTTCTGAGACTGTTTCCCATAGTGACTGTTATTGTGGTGTTTTGATCTCATTTTCAGTATTTTGTGAAGTTCATGTTGTTTCCTAAACTAACATATTCCTTTGAGAACAAGCATTTTTTATTTCCTTCCAGAGGGGGGTCGGAAACATGTGAGATACAGAAAAATTATGGAAACTTTAAATATGACTAACCGGCAGACTGGCTCTGTTATAGGTGATACTAAGTCTATGGCTGTAAACTTGAAAGCTGTATTGGTGCATAGATACTTCAAGGCTTCTTTCTTGCAGGTGGGGTAAGAGGATGTTTGGGCGGGTTTTTGTGGTTTTTTTTGTTTGGTTGGTTTGGTTTGGGGGTTTTTTGTTGTTGTTTGGTTTAATTTTGTTTTGTTGTTGTTTTTTTCCCTTAGGAACCAACTTCAGACTATTGGGATAGCTGCTGCAAACACATGGGGTCTCTTTCTTCTTGTGTTGCTTTTGGGTTATGGTTTGGTGGAAATCCCCCGTTCTCACTGGAATGGGGCTAAGAGGGGTTATCTGCTCATGAAGACTTATTTCAAAGCTGCCAAACTGATGACTGAAAAAGCAGACGCAGAGGAGAATTTAGAGGACATTATGGAGGTAAGTAACTAGCTTTCACTATGAAATAAGTGAAGGCTGCTGTTAATAGGCTCTTAATTTCCTGGTGTTGGACGCTTGTGGCAATAGAAAACTATCCTCCATACATTTGTAATGTTTGCACACTAGCATTTTGGTTTTTTTAAAAAAATACATATGTGTTGTTCATAAATACTTCACTTATCTTTTATTAGATCTAGTAAAGCTATGGCTTTTACAGAGCTGTATTTTTTTTTTAAACTGTAATGGCTGTCTTTTCCATTGGGAGGGCTGCAACTCTTATTTGACCATTTAAAAATTTATTTTATTTAAATTTTTAATTTAACATGATTACACTGCTCTGTATTTTTTTTCCTCAACAGGAAGTCCGTAAAGTAAGTGAGAGTATCAAATATAACCACCCCTTGAGAAAATGTGTTGATACAATACTGAAAAAGGTAACAAATTGCTCATCTTTGGCTGTAATTGTTCATTTGGGAGCTCATGCTTCCTGCATGTACTTGTACATTATTTTCTTTCTCTCTTAATATAAAATCTCTATTTGGCATCTTCTGAGCTTCTTTGTGAAATCCTTTCTTATGACGTACATAATTATTAGTTGTATTTTGATGCACATGGTATTTTAGAAAGAGAAAAGTGTATGCTTAGAGTGAGCTTTTCAGTTGCATGAAAAAATGACCCAAACATTTACTAATAATTAACAAAGAGCACTTGCTACTCATCTTCCAGTTAATTTTCCCTTTTCCTTCCAGTGTCCTACTGAGTACCAGGAAAGAATGGGTAGGAACATGGATGATTATGAAGATTTTGATGAAAGACAGAACAGTTATCCAAGTGAGAAAAGTCTGGTCAAACTTCACAAGCAGGTATATTAATAAATGAGTTAATACCTCACTTACCCTGATGTAATGAGAGTAAATGATAGCCAGACAAAGATTTTCAACACACTTTACCTGAATTGCTAAGTATAGTGGGTTTTGGGAATGCTACTTAACAGAAACTTTTCTTGGTGAAAGAAAACACAAAAGTTTAATATCCCAAGTGATCAAAGTTCTGGATGATTTAAAAAGTGTGCTTCTTGTGTTTTATCTTGATAGTGTTTTAGCTGTCTGTGAGTAAGCTTTGTAATGACTTTACCAGTGACTGACAGTGCATTCTGAAAAAGAAATTATAGTTAAAACTTGATATATACTAAAATGCAAAAATAAAGTCATATGTTGGAAAAAGTAGGCTGTTACTGCCACAGATGGATTGTGATAAAAGTACTGCAAAACTCAGGAATCCAGTATGTAGTTCATCTGTGATTTATGTATTTAGAGAATTAACTGCCCACTTTTGTGAATATACCAAGTTAGTCTTTGTAATTCTGCAGTGTACACATTTTTGAGGGATTTTGCAAGGCTCTTCTCTCATTTCTTGAAACAAATATGTTGTAACCCTAATTTCTTGGAATTTATTGTAGGTGATCTATTCAGTACAGAGATACCGTCGTACACAGGTCCAGTGGCAAATTCTTTTAGAGCAAGCATTTTACCTAGAAGATGTGGCAAAAAATGAAACAAGTGCTACACGACAATTTGTTCATACCTTTCATTCCCAGGAACCAGAGAATAAAATTATTCAGTATTTCTACACACCAACTGTTGGTAAGTGCTGGCTTGCAGATTTTGAGTCTGTCAAGGCATAACTGATACTCTTTTGTAAGAAGAACCAATTGTTTTATGTTAAACTTCAGCTGCAGTAGAGGGAAATAAGTGTACAAGCTTAATGCATTTATGTAATGGAATAGCTACTAATTTATGCTCTTGACCATAAGCTTAAATTTTATTTACACATTTAATAGCAGTTACATGTTGTAATAAAGCCATAGCAAACTGTAAAGCCTTAGAAGAAGAAAGAAAACAGCAACTCTAAACAATTGGATGGTGGCTACCTTCTACATTTTGTGGGATCTATTGATCTATTGAGGTGGCACTGCTCTTCCAGTAAAGCAGAGGAAAAGATTTTTCATCTGTCATGCACCAAATATTAGCTAATATGGCTGCTTGTGCATCTTTTCAGAAAGTGTCTTCTCCTAATCATGTTTTAACATATTATTTGCTGCACTAGCAGTGAGTTATTTCCAGGGCAGGACAATAAAATTTTATAGCCTAAGCTCCATTTCTGAGAGAGTAACAGATAAACAAAGAAAGACGTGAATTACTGATAGTATCTAGGCCAAAACGGGAGAGTTGTTCTACATACCCCACACCCCTCAATCTGTTTGCAAAATTCGCCTCCCCAAATCTCACCGTTTTCCTCAGTTGGGCATAGGATTCCTTAGGGCTGAAGCAGATCTCTGAACTGGAAAAACCCTGAAATTAAGTGTGTGACCCCATAGATTCTAGCCTTGATTTTAAGGGTGGGCATGCAAGAAGTTCATAGCATCTCTTGTGAGGGAGTTCCATTTCTGATTTTGTAATTTTCATTAACCCATTCCGGATATGTGTGTTTGTTTTTTCCAGAGTGGTACTGGGAATGTCTTCTGCGACCATGGTTTTACAGGGTGCTTGCAGTTGTGCTGGCTACATTCTCTATAATTGTTGTGTGGTCAGAGTGCACATTTTTCAGCACAAACCCAGTTCTATCGCTATTTGCAGTTTTCATACAGCTGGCAGAAAAGACATATAATTACATATACATAGAGGTAAGTTGGAGTCAATCACTTGAGAAAAATATTTTCAGATGGATGGTTATGATAACAAAGTCTGTCAGATAGATTTAGCAATAAATCTCTAAATAATCTGTCAACTTTCAAAAGGTCTCTAAATATATTGTCCCAAACTTTGTTTCTATGGAGGAAGTCTGCCTTTTGCCACTTCTTAAAGCTCTCCAGTACCAGGTCAAGGTATGGCCCAGCTAGGCTGAATATCATGTGAAGAGTAATTTCTGAATCATTAGCTTGGAGCTTAGGTGCTAATTAGACTTTGTGTCTAATCAGCTGTGTGTGACCTCTCTTTCCTAAACAGGAATTTGCTGATGACCAGGAATCCAGTCACAGATGTGGCTACCATATGTGTGCACAAACTTCTCAGTAAAGGAACTGAGCTAAAAAATTCCAGTATACTTACATAAGGTTGATTTGAAAACACTTGGTTTTATCCCATTTTTGCGAGAAGAAATGTCAAATCAATCATAGTAACTACTGAGGCAATTACAGAAATTTTATTTACATAACAAGAAGCAGAATAAATGTTCCTAGGGTCATCTGTGTTCTTATAGGTAGAATGTTACAATTCTCAATTTAAGTTAGTCAGAAAAACTCCAGATAGTCTTCTCAGACCTGGTAGTATTGTCTCATCTCAAAATTAAAAATTGAGACTGGAGGTAGCCTGTTGCATGCACAGACTGCGTGCTGAATGCTTTAAAACCTTTAGTAGAGTTCTATATTCAAACAACAACTTTTTTTTTTCCCCTAGATGGCCTGTTTTCTTACCATCTTTTTCCTAAGTATCTGTGTTTACTCTACTGTCTTCAGGATCCGTGTATTTAACTATTATTACTTAGCTTCACATCATCAGACAGATGCATACAGTCTCCTTTTCAGTGGCATGTGAGTATGTGCCACTTTTTTTTGATATATTTTGCAGATTTCTGATCAAATACACAATTGAAAAGGTCCATGAAACTTTATGTTCTTTAATTTATAGTTATATGGGTATAAATCCTAATGAGTATATCATTATTCTGTGATAGATTCAGTTATGATTTTGCAGTTAAGGTAAGAAATTCTTTCAAATGCTGTTGCTTCTTGTATTTGTGCAGGTTATTTTGCCGTCTTACTCCACCATTGTGCTTGAACTTTTTGGGCTTGACCCACATGGATGCAACAATCTCTCACAGAAAGACTCAGCCAACTGCTTATACATCTGTAAGTACAGGAAATGTGGTTTTGAGCCTTCAATATGGTTTTGAGAATAGGCAAAGTATTTTTAAATACTTCTTATAATAAGGTTCAGATACTCAAGTATCTTTTTACTAGTATTAAACGGTGTAAAAATACTTGGTTGTGGACCAGGAGTTTGGTAATGATTTCCAGGAGTCATAAATAGGTAATTTTTTCTGGTTTTGTCTCTTTATCATAAGAAAGTAAAATATTATACTTTAGAGTTCAGACTGTTCTTCACTTCCTAGTAGCTTTAGCTTCCACTGGCTTTAGCATATAGGACTTCTCTATAGATTGGGAGCAAACCTAACTTGCTACTGAAAACCAGTGAGTTTGTTTTTATTGAACAACTGGTTTCTGTTGCAACATCTCAGATCTTACATCTTGTTGCTAGTTACTAGATTCTTAGTGTTGTCTTAAACTCCTCTCACAACAAATGAAAAAATCCATCAGATTTGCACTTGTTCTGAACTAGGTGAGACTTACAAAATCTAGCACCCTAGAAACCTCAGAGTGGATAGATACACTGTTGGAGGTGGCCTTTATATCTGCTGATTCTGGATCAACTGTCTGAATCATATCTGTGATGATAATACATGCCTATGTTTCAGTAACTGTAAAGAGACTGTGTGTTTTTGTGAGATGGCACAATCTTTATGGGCATAGATAGAATGTAGCTAATTAAAGCTTGTTCTTTTGGATTGTTTTTACCTAGATAATGGGATCCATGAAAGTGCTGCCCTTCATTGCAGATGGATTCTATATATACTACCCAATGCTTGTTGTCATTCTCTGTATTGCCACATACTTTAGGTAAGTGATTTGCAATACAGATTCTCCATGTTTCTTTAATAAGATTAGTTTCATCAGTCAGGAAGACATTCAAAACTCCTTTTCCAGCAGTTGAGTTGTGTCATATTAATAAAAATGCAAAACCTAAATCATTAAATTGTTATTTATATAGATGAAGTGTGTACATTTTGAGAATATGGATTGTGTTAAACCATAGCTGAGTTTTGAGGGCTTTTCCCCCCATTAAACTTCATTCCTACATTTTGAGGGGTGATCTTTTAGAACTTTGGAGCCTGGGGGCATGTAGATTCTGCTTGAGATTAAAATTACCATGAGGAAGCTGTGTATTCAGCAAGGTTTTCTAATGAACTAAGAAGCATTAGCAGAAATTTTAGGTGTTGAACTTCCTAACAGACTCGTAAAAAATTCCTGATGTGTTACCAGACTTTGGTTTGAAAGCATACTGGTTTAAATAATTTGATCTTGTTTCCTTAAGCCGCAGTTTGTTGGAGGGTAGAAGGGTGATTGTAGAAAACACTGTTACATGCTTGCTTTATCCTTATATTTCAAAATGTCTGGTTTGACCACTGAAGGGACAGAATACTTTCAGTCTGACCTTGCTCAGATACTTTTATGTTAATTTCTTCAATTTTCCATTACCTTTCAGTCAGAAGCAAGGTATATGTGTTTAGTCATATACAATGTAGGTGAATGCCTCAAATTCCCATTAATATTGTGTGTGCATCTAGATATGCATATAGATAGTAAGATAACAAGGACCTGGGCTTTTCGTGCTTACTTTTTGGTTAAGTGACAAAAGTGGTGCTGAAGGAAAAGTGAACATCAAAACAAAACAAAAAAAAAATCAAACAGGAAAGCCAATGATGAGAAAAGAGTTTGTGTGACTTCTTGTCCATGATGATGCTTGAATGCCACAGTGAAAAGGAAGAATAGAAATTAAAGGAAAGGAAGTTGCTTTAGTGACCTCTGTTAATTCAGATACATGCAAAAGGTTTAATTAAATGAAGATTTAATTAAAATCTATCAAGGAAAGCTTGATTTAAGCTTTGTTTAATCCAGCAGTCTTACAGTTCAGATGGTATAAGAAAAAAACTTCAGCATAAATATACAATGAAGACAATTTGGAGCCTGACATTGATATTCCACTTTGGAGAAAGGAAAATAATAACGAAAACAGCAGTTGTGTTCTCTGGTGTGAAGTTGAAAAGGTGAAAGTGGTTTCCTGCTATCTAGTTCCAGGACTAGCTTAAACAAGGTGGAGCAAGCTTATTATCTGACTGCTGCCTAGTGGCTCTCCAAAATGGCAGCCAGCATCCCTACAGCTTAAGAGTATGGCACACATTTCTCCTAAGTGAAACCTGAAGTGAAGGAGACTTTCCTTTGTTATTAGTGTTTCAAAAATACAGAAATCACAGTAAGCAGAATTTTTATAGTAATTTTCTTCTGGCAAAGAAGAGTCAATGACATATCATAAATTCTGTTATATCTGAGAACACCTAAGCAATTGACTTATGTTAAATCATTTGCTCTACTCTCCGGCTGTATACATTTTTATCTCTCTATTTGGATAGGATTATTTTCAGTTGGATTTAGGAATGTGTCACTGTTCTGAATTTTCTGGTTTCTCAGCTAGTGTAATAATCCGTCTTTTTTTCTGTGTTGCTTTTTTACTTGTATTGTCCATAATTTTCTGAATAATTCATTTTACATCTTGCATTGTAATATATCTAAACTGTTCACTGTAAATTAACAAAGGAAATTACTTCTCCTTCTTGTTTTACCAGTTTAGGAACTCGTTGTTTGAATCTCTTGGGATTCCAGCAGTTCATGGGGGATAGTGAAATGACTTCTGATTTGATTGATGAAGGAAAAGAGCTAATCAGAAGAGGTAAATTAGATCCTCTATCGTAGTCTTCCTACAAAATCATAGAACCATTGAATCATCAAGGTTGAAAAGACCTCAAAGATCATTGAGTCCAACTGTGAACCCAACACTTTTCAAGTTCACCACTAAGCCGTGTCCCCAAGTGCCACACGTCTTTTAAATATCTCTGGGGATGGTGACTCCACCACTTTCCGCAGCAATCTGTTCCAATGCTTGACAGCCCGTTCAGTGAAATATTTTTTCCTAGTATCCAAACTAAACATCCCCTGGCACAACTTGAGGCCGTTTCCTCTTGTCTTGTTTTTTGTTACTTAGAAGGAGCGACTGACCCCCAACTCACTACACTCTCCTTTCAGGTAGTTGTAGAGAGCGATAAGGTCACGATCCCTGAGCCTCCTTTTCTCCGGGCTAAACACCCCCAACTCCCTGAGTGGTTCCTCATCAGACATTTGCTCCAGACTTTTCCCCAGCTCCATTGCCCTTCTCTGGACATGCTCCACCACCTCAACATCCTTCCTAAACTGAGGGGCCCAGGACTGGACACAGCACTCAAGGTGCAGCCTCACCAGTGCCAAGTACAGGGGAAGAATCACTTCCCTGGTCCTGCTGGCCATTCAATTCCTGATACAGGGCAGGATGCCACTGGCCTTCTTGCCCACCTGAGCACACTCTGGCCCATGGTCAGCTGCTGTTGACCAGCACCCTTGGATCCTTTTCCACTGGGCCTCTTCTCTTTCCAGCCACCCTGCCCCAGTCCTGTAGTGTTGCATGGGGTTGTTGTGACTGAAGTGAAAATTGAAAGGAAAGTGGCTTGGTGACCACTTCACCAGCTCCCTCAGTGCCCTTGGATGGATCCCATCTGGCCCCATAGACCTATGTGTGTCTAAGCAGTGTAGCTGCTTAGTAGTAGCACTGGTCACTGACCACTTCCCTTGGATTCTGGGGGCTTTGTTCTGCTCCCCCTGTCTTTCACCTCAGGGGACTTGGTACCCAGGCAACAACTGATCTTACTCTTAAAGACTGAGGCAAAAAAGGCATTAAGTTTACCTTGGCCTTTTCCTCATCATGTTATATGTTCTTGGATTAAATTTGTCTGAAATGTTGCAAAAAAAAAAAAAGCTTGTCATTATTTTGAAAACTATACTGAGGCAGTCCACAATACAAAATGCATAGGACTGTGGTCGCTATGGACTTCATTGATATCTAAAGTGAAGTACCAGTTTTATTCATCCAGTATCTGAATTTTAGGTATTTCTAAATATTTTACAGTGTGTTACTGATCTAAGTAGGTGCTTGTTTCATAAAGGATGGTCAACATCTAAATTGTATTTATCATCAACAAACTCATTTTAATCTTTCTTTGTGTGTGTTGATAGAGCTGCATGAGTTCAGTCATTTCCTTGAGTGTTTTTTGCTGTGTCAACTAACTATGTTTTATCAGAGAAAGCATGTTGTTATAGAGCTGTAGTTATCTGCTGGTTTGGAAAGCTTTTTATTTTAAGTTAGTTTTTATTGAAAGGGTTTCTTGAAAATTGTTAAAAGCCATTGTGGTTCTTGAGTAAATACTTAGAAATTAAAATTTCAGGATACAATGTTATATTATGGAATACTTTTATTCCGATAGTTTATGAAAAATGAAACCTGGATTTACTTAGAGTATTTCTCTTTTTTTGGAGAAAGATGAATGTTTCTCATTCCTCTAAACAATAGGTTATGACTGCTTCGATACTGTGATGTTATACTTTCAACTTCATAGCAGATACGGCCACAAAGTATTTGGGTCATACTTTGGGCCTCACAGAGCTTCAGCAAGATCTTGAGTCAACACTGCTCAAGGTTTTTATAATGTCATGCTTTTCCCAGCTACTTCTAGAGGGGTTTTTTTTGCTTTGCCAGCTGGTATCCAAATAGTGTGCTGTGACCCAAGATACCATCATCACAAATTCATTTTGTTTGGAAACACTATAATGATAGACAAGCAGCTTTTTGTTTTGTTTTTGTTTAGTTGTATGAGTTGTCTATTTCAATAAGAACCTGCTAGTTAACTTTGGATTTTAACCGTTTCTTTAAAAAAACATATTGCTAATGATTTTTATTGTATGGAGCTCAGACAAATAATGTTTTTTTTTTATAGAGAAAAGAAAACGACAGAGGCAGGAAGAAGGTGAAAATAGAAGAAGGGTATGAGATTGTTTTAGCTAATAATAATATTATACAGCAATATCTGATAGGATTTGCCATGACTGTTTAATTCAGCATAATCTCTTCCACAAAAAAGGTAGTCCCAAATAATTGATGGGATCAGTTGAATCTTGCTTAATAGTCTTGGTTGGGGGTTAACTAAAGAAGAGGATGATTTTAGTGACACTACTTGGATACTCTTGTTACTCAGTGTGCTGTGGTGTATGCCAGTAGGTGTAACAAGCATTAAAAAGGTTGCTGAATTCTAAGATGCCAATGGCTTATTATCAGTGTCTTACATTGATACTGCTCTGCTTGAAAGAACTGCAGTTGCAGTGTCATCATATTCACTAAAATGGGGACTGTGTGCTCCTCCCAAACTTACCTTGTTGTTTTACATGCTTATTGGAAAGTAACTGTCACAGGTTTTTTCCAGAGGAGGTAATTACATTGGAGACAGAAATAATACTGTTACTGCTGAACAAAAAAACAGAATGTTTGTTTCAAATCATATTTTGTGTGCAGACTGAATTGAAAGATTTGTGAAGCTTTAGGTTTTCATTAATTTATAACATTTGGAATCTAGCACGGAAAGTCACAGAGATAAATAGAAAGGATGCGTGCAAGATAATACTGGAACTAAAACCTCTTGGCTTTTCAAGCTCGGGTATACGTTAATCTTTGATGACAGTCAGTACTGCACAGACCTTTCTTCTGATCCTCTGCCCCCATCTCATAATTTTAGAACCTGAATTTGTTGTGAAACAAAGTAGTAGTGAGTGCGTGCTACATTTAGTATACACTAAAATGATCTGACATCAACAATTTTAGTTAAACAGCAAGCTCAAGTTTCAGATGTTACCTGTTATTTTGAGTTTTGCATTAAATACTGCAGCATATAAATAATGTAACATATTCATTTTTTGGAGCTTTTGAGAATGTCATGTTTTACTGGATCCTGATTAAGTGTTTAATCCTTCTGCAGTTTAGAATTGTAACATATGACATAACTTTTGAGTTATACCAGTTATTTTTTTTAATATCAGTGACTTTTGAGTATACCAGTTCCTACCAGACTGTAATCTGGGATCTAAATATGGGACTAAAACATATAAAAGAGCAATTAGAAACATTTCTATTGAGACATGAAGCTGTCTCCTAATAAAAGCACAAGACATTTTCTTCTTTAGTATTTCTTTATACTTCATACTAAAATGTTTACATACTAAAGGGTGTCAGAATGGAAAAAACAGAACAACAAGCTTAGTAAACATGGCCTGTCCAAATGTTTGGGGGTTTTGTGTGCTGTTATTTTTCCATTTTACCACTAGATGGAAGTAGTAAACAACAAAAGCAGCAGTGCCCACCATAACTTTAGAGGAGTTGAGTGAACTTTGAGTGCAGATTTGAGATGCAGTTTGTTTTCTGCAAATCTTTTTTCTAAAGAACAGTTATGGTTACTGGCTTAGTGAAGAGACACATCTTGAGTTTAAAATGAAGCAAAAATTCTTCCTGTATCAAGATACTGAACAGGAACATTTTGAAAGTATTGCTTTGATAATCTGTTGTGATTAATTTAGCTCTAAATGATGAACCTTGGGTATTCCTTGATCCCCCATATGCTTTGTTGTGTTGCTTTATCCTCACAGCTTATGTTTTCTTTTGTTGTCTTTTTCCAGGAATGGAAGGAGCGATATGGAAATAGAGACGATTCCACTAGAAACAGAGCTGTCCACACAGACCAAAAAGAATCCAGCTTCACAGAGACCAATGCCAATAGACGTAAGCTTTGTGGGTTTGTGGGGAGGCTGGTTTTGTTTTGTTTTCTTTTACTATCTTGTCTGCACAACACAGGCTGTGTGAGTAGTTTCAAATATATTCCTTTTTCTGTTAGGTGATGTACCGATACATCCACTTCTGTGGCACAGTGCCATCTTGCCATTAAGACACTGAAAAGAGTGCTGTGTTTCTTTCAATCTCCAGCACTTCAACTAGTTGAGATTGGAGATTCTGGCTCTACTCTTAGACCAATAACTTGGTCTTATGGGATATATAATGATTGCAGTTACAGTAGCAGTTGTCAGGAAAGAAAATAATTATGATATGTTGTGACGTTGGGTGTTGTAAATCACAAAATTTACCTCTTCTACTTGGAAATTGCTATCTCAGACTGCAATAATGGAGCAATCAGTTAACCAGCTTATGTGAAACCAATAACACACCACGCAAGTGGGTACATTTTTATTTAATAATGTCTGTTAGCAAAATACTTCTTTTTGGAAGTTTAAAGCATCACAAAATTTCATTTGTGAGAGTGTTAGTGGGTTTTTTGTGCATTTTTGATCTTTTTTTGTACTCCTGTAAGCTAACAACAAGTAAAATGAAATTGAAGAAAAAGGGGAGGAGGAGGGAAGCTTTGAATATGCTTTTGAGACAATACTGGTAGATCTCCCCTTCCTCTTTACAAAGTTGGAAACGCAGATTTTAAGTGGTAGACTAACCAAAATTATATTTTAATATGAATATGTAGCATTCCAACACCAAAACCAGCCATAGGTACTTGCCTAGTGAAGGTTGCAGAGTGAACTGCAAAACAAATATATTTCATTAATTCATGAGATTGTCTCCTTAAAAACAAAGAAAAGTTAATAAAAAAACCCATCCAGCTAGCTTACTTAAAGCCTGAAGCTGTGAAGATGAATGGATGATTGTTTGATTTAAAAGTGAAGTTTGCATGTAGTTTCTCATTTTCATTGTGTCTTCGCAAGGCAGATCTCATCCTATTTGAGGGGCAAGAGAAAAGTTGTAGTTGCATGTGTTCTATGGAGGTACAAAACTGAAATACTATAAATTTGAGCAACTTTGGTTTAATATGAATCTGCTCTAAATTATGACACTTTCACTTTGGATGAGATATTTATTAATATAGTCTTTTAAAATTGATGTCTCTAAGCTGTTCAGAGAGCAAATGAGTGTCTTTCTTTCCTTTTACTTATTCAGCACTATCAAAGTATACCCGATCAAATGGTAGGACTGAAAGAGATAGAATAGAACTTCTCCAGGATGCAGAACCTTTGGATTTTAATGCAGACTCTGTTAACGATGACCCTCTTGAATCAGACTCAGGAAGGTGAGGAATCTTCCGTGTTATTTACAATTAAAAGATACTAATGTCTTGTGTCTTCTGACCTATGACAACTGCGTCAAATGTTTTCACAATAATAGTTTGGTAAACTAAATTTATCATTTCACCTAACTCTTCTCCCTTCTTCCTTCTGCCCCACGATACAGGAATTGTTTTAGAACTAATTAAAACCTAAAGGTTTTTCAGGTTTTTAGAAATATCATAGTCAGATTTGAATATAACTTTGTATAGTGACGTAATCTGAAAAATACTGCATGTAAAACTGGCAAAGGACCAGTTTGTTAAGGAAACTTCCCATGACTATTCAGGAGACACTGGCAATCACCACCACTCTCACCACCCCAGCCTTTCACTGCTGGGACTGAAACCCCTTCACAGCCTGTGGCTCCAGTGACTCTACGGGTGCCTCGTTTCACTCCCTGCACACCCCGCTCCCACACAGTCAGACAAGTTTTTAAGTTTCCCTTTCCAGCTCAGCCGCAAGTTTCCTGTACCAGAGTTCCAGATGTCTGGTTCCTTTAAGTAATTTAATTGTGGTGCAGCAACAGAATAACAGGTCGAGTTTGTACCTCCTGGGAGGGGCCCCAAACTAAGGAATCCCTGAGCTTTTATACCCTCACAGGCTGTGCCCCCGATACTCTGTGATCTTCCAGCTCAGTCCTCGGCTCCTGCAGAGTCTCCGAGTGTCCGGTCACCTGGCTGGTGCCACAGGTCCCCGTGCAAAGGGTTGAGTCATGGCCTCTTGCCTGGGGCTCCCCCCGTTTCCTGCCATGCAGGACACAACCTGCAGCTGCACACAGAGCTACCTGCACTAGGTGTATTCCTCAACAGACATAGGTACAACATAAGGTTTTCTGTAATTTCCTGCAAGGCTTCAGAAAGCACTTGATTCTCCTGTATAAAATCGATTATAAAAGGCTGCAAGAAAGAAAACTGGGTATTACAGGACCTGTTGCAAGAATACAGCTGAGGATCAGATCTTGGAACTACTGGACTAAATTAAACTCTGAACTTCCTGAACAGAAAGTACAAGACTGCACTATGTAGCTCTCCGTAACAGAGAATTTTTAGATTCTGTGGGTGTGACTGCAACAGCAAATTTCCTCACTGATAGAGTGTCTTATATAACTGCTTAGCTCTGCTCATACTTAAGAAACAAATAAAATATTGCATGGGTGCTTTTGTTAATCTAGGTCATTCTGGTGTAGAACCATTTAATATAAATAATTTAAAATTCCCATATAAAAACTTATAATTTATTATTTTTCAGCTAAAACTAGCATACCCAATCAAAAAATGTCACAAATGGTTTTAGTAGACTTCTGTTTATAAGCACACAAACTGCTTTTTGGATGTCATTGTTTGGTTGGGATTTTTTATGTTTTGGGTTTTGTTGTTTGTTTACTTGTTGTTTTAGCTGGGTTTTTTTAAGAAGAAAGTCCTGTTCAACCAAAACATCTAACTTTTTTCCTTTGTATCAGGAAACAAAGTTCTTTAAGACTCTCTCTTTAAGTATTGGTATCACTGTTTTTCTTGGTCACATGATGTTTAATTTAATGACTGTCTATCAAATTCTCATGGAAACAGTAATTCAGAAGAACTTCAGGTCCTGTAATTCACTGAGAGTTAAGGAGTAAGATTGTAGTGACAGTTATTTGATTTTACGGGTCTTTATTTTTTTATTTTCTGTGATATTTTTTCATATTTAAAATTGATTCTGCAGGTACCAGCCTGGTGGAAGATACCTGTCAATGTCTCGAAGCAAAATATTTGATGATGTCTAAGCTCCTCAATGCTAAAGAAAATTCAGTGGAAGTCTAACTCCTACTCATTGCTTGGAAAATACTGTATTTGTGATATATCACTGAACCATCAAAGACTGTTTCTGTTTAAAAAAAAATATGAAGGAACAACTATTTTGGAAATGCACGTGTATGATAAGTTCACCACTTATGATAAGAACATGCTTCTTCTGTTGTAGATACTGTTGTGCATCGGTGTGGGCTTTTGTGTCACGATGAAAAGGAGAAAACTATTAATTTAATAATTCGTATATACCTGGAACTGAATATACAATTTGAACTGTAACAGTCTGAGTTCTAGGAAGAGATTTCCTAGAAGGATTTTTGTTTGTTTTTTTTTCTTTAACTGATGCTGTGAGAGCATCTTAATGCATCCAAAGTGCAGTTATATCAATTTCCATAATAAATACTTTCTATAATTTTTCTATTTGACCTTTAGTTAAAAATTAAGTTAAAAATTTAGAATAAAATTAAGGCTTCTTTTGCCTTCAGTGGTGTTGAATCAGACCCGTATAAGGCGAAAGATTGAGTGGCAGGCTGTTCCTCATAAAACCATAAAAATACACGTTCCAGTATTTAAAGAGTGGCTATAAAGAAGATGGAGACTCCCTTTCTACAAGGAGTCAAATAGAAAAGATGAGGGGTCATGGGTACAAGATACTCCTGGGGAGATTCCAGCTGGACACAACTGGAAATTTTTGCACAATGAAAACAATCATCCATTGGAATAATCTCCCCAGAGAAGTGGTGGATTCCCTAAGATTGGACACTTTTAAGATTTGGCTGGGCAAGGTGCTGGGTTGTCTTGTCTAGACTGTGCTTTTGCTGAGAAAGGTTGGACAATAGGATCATAGAGTCACAGAATGGTTTAGGTTGGAAGGGACCTTAAAGATCATGTAGTCCCAACTCCCCTGCCCTGGGCAGGGACACCTTCCACTAGACCAGGTTGCTCAGAGCCCCATCCAACCTGTCCTTGAACGCCTCCAGGATGGGGCATCCACACCTTCTCTGGGCAACCTGTGCCAGAGCCTCACCACCCTCACAGGCAAGAATTTCTTCCTATTGTCTAATCTAAACCTACTCTCTTTAACTTTGAAGCACTTCCCCCTTGTCCTATCACTACAGTTTCTGGTGAAGGTCCCTCTCCAGCTTCATTGTAGGCCCCTTCAGATACTGGAAAGTTGCTACAAGGTCTTCTTACAACCTTCTGTTCCTCCAGACTGAACAGTCCCAGCTCTCTCAGCCTGTCCTCATAGGGGAGGTGCTCCAGACCCCTTTTCTTTCATGGCCCTCCTCTGGACTCCCTCCATTAGGTCAGTGTCCTTCCTGTGCTGAGACCCCAGAGCTGGATGCAGTGCTCCAGGTGGGGGTCTCAGCAGAGCTGAGGGGCAGAATCCCTTCCCTCAACCTTGCCCACCCTGCTTTGGATGCAGCCCAGGACACATTTGGCTTTCTGGGCTGTGAGTGCACATGGCTGGGTCATGTCCGGCCTCTCACCCACCAGCACCCCCAAGTCCTTCTCAGCAGGACTGCTCTCAGTCACTTCTCTGCCCAGCCTGTAGGTGTGTCTGTGATTGCCATGATCTAGGTGTAGGACCTTGCACTTCACTTTGTTGAACTTCATGTTCAGGTTTGTACAGACCCACTTCTCAAGCCTGACCAGGTCCTTCTGGATGGCATCCACACCCTCCAGGGTGTCGACTGCACCACACAGCCTGGTGTCGACAGATAATCCTTGAGGTCCCTTCCAGCCTGGTATTCTATGATTCTATGAAATTTGGTGGCATAAATTTTGGAGCAATGTGTGTTGGTGAAGAAAGGCTGTATTTTTTCTTTTCCAACGTTATACGCAGATAAATGATTTTAGCATGTGTAAATAGTTGAAATTGAATATGGACCAGAGTTTCACTGTCTTAAGAGCATGTGTGCAATAGCAAGAATACATTATCAAAGATACAATGTCTGCTTAAGATCTTTACAGTTGTAATCGTTCAAAATTTTGGCACACTAGTGTTTTTGTAACTGTTAAAGAAATATACTATGAAAATTGAGTTAAATACTGAAACATGATAATTTGCACGCACCTCAGGCACGGCTTCAAACTGTAGAGTATTTCTTTAAAAGAAGGGAAATACATAGCATGACTAGATAATGGCAAACACTTTTAATATCCTGAATACCCTGGTTGCATTATGGATCAGTTTTTCAGGTGCCTGTATTTTGCATTAAGTTGTTGCAAAAGGACTAATACTTATTCATTTGTATGCCATTCAAAAATGCCAATTATTGACAGTGTAGAAGAGCTTCACATTAATTTTATTGGTGTTGATATATTTTTAAACCGTAGTTACTTGAATGAAGTTTCAAATGTAATCATAAGGTAAAAGATGTGGTCAAATTCATGATAACTTTGGTAATTTGAATAACTTAAAATATTGCTTTTTTGCAGTTTGTCTGAAGTCTTTACCACTTGGGAGTTTTCTTATGTGCTTATTGCAGAGTTATGTTGAAAACTGAAAGAGAATATATTTCTATCATATATTCTGTATCATGGTTCAAAAAAAGACATCTCTTAAAGCAGCTATGAATGAGTTGTTCAGAAAAGTAAGTTTTCATGAATGACGTATTCTACTAATTTTTAAAAGTAGTTTGTGTTTTCTGAAGTTTATTGTTAATGGGGATCTAACTCTACCTCCTGTGATTTAGTACGTGTTCTAACAGTAGTGGTATTTGTAATATATTGATCTGCCTGTTTTAAAACACTGAATTGTTACTATGAAGAAGAAGAAAATCTCTATTTGTATAGAAATAACTATATTAATAAATTGGCAGACATACAATAATTGTCAGTTTTGTTCTTAGGTGAATACACTGAATGTCAGCCAAGCCTACATGTATTCAAGCTCATGCAATTTCCAGATTGCCTATATGAGGGCACTTTTTTAGTTTGGGTATTTTGTGTTTGTAAAAGCTTGTTCCAAATCTTATGGCTGTATCAGGGACTGCAAGTTGAGAAAATGAGTCTTTATTCAGAGTTTTTTCTTTAGCATCTCTATGTTAGCACCTATTTAATTTATTTTAGTTCTACTTAAAAGTGCTATCCTGAATTCAGCCTTATGTGAAAGGCTTTGTATATGTTTTTGGACATCCATCCACATGAATGCTCTTAGACTTGATATTTCTATTTTAAAAATTTATATCTCTTTTAATTGCCCAAAAGTTTATTTATAAAAATCTTTGAATGAAATAAGATTCAAGCTCTTTGCTTAACCCTTGAAATGTCACTGCAAAAGGGATCTAATTCAGTGCTAATGGCAAAACTATAGAAGGAATGTTTGTTTTCTTCATGTCTGTGAAGCATCCTTACCTAGTCCTTCGTGACTTCAGAGACTTGGATCAAGCCTTCTTGGGGCCTGGTTTTTCCCCTCTCAGTGAAATGGCTGCAAACAATTTTCAGGGGAAACATGGTCAGGATTTTATATATAAAAGATAACTAGTCCCTGGTGTAAGCCCTCTGTGCAGTTTCACTGGAATACAATAATGTGAGGAGTTGACTGTATAAATTAATGGCAGTGGGATTTCAGATTCTAACATGGACATTCTAAGCTCATTGGGGTGGGAATCTGCTGACGTTTTTGATGTTGCAGTGGAGAAAGGGAGTAACCAGTGAGTGCTTTTTGAGCTCTGAAGATCTCCAAAGAGTTTCCTGGATGCTATTTAAGTAAGGAGTTGATAAGTGAAGTCGTGTTTCATCTGTAGTGTGCATTGCTGACCAGCAAGTTACTCTTGCTCTGATTATGTGCAATTTGTCGGCCAATTAATCTAAAGTGTGTTGTGAAAACTAATTATGGGTTCATATCACTAAATCTGGAAGACTTCAAAAAAAGAAATAGAGAGTACAACTGTAAAAGAACATTGTAGAAATAAGGGGTGTTCCTGCACAGCATTTGCTCTCTGCTTGAGCTAGTTTTAAACTCGTTTGCTTACTGTTCATACCAACAATACAGAACTGGCCTGGGGACTCTGTGCCTAAGGATTTACGCCTCTCTTGAGAGGTGATGGATGACCCATCCCTGAAAACATTCAGGGCCAGGCTGGACAGGGCTCTGAGCACTCAGATCTAGTTGAAGATGTCCCGGCTGATTGCAGTGGGGGGTTGGACTAGATGGCCTTTACAGGTCCCTTCTAACCCAAACCATTCTGTGACTCTGTAGTGCTTCCCAGCCAGACTGTGGCAACTCTTGATGGGTTATATGCTGCTGTAGCTTGAGTCCCAGCAGTGCTGCAGCTGAACCAAGTTAAAACTCGCTTTGATATGTGGAGCAGTGACTATACTATAGGCTAATGGTGTTCCTGCATCCCATTTGATGTTCCAGATTAGGTGATTTTTAATACAACTCCCTTGCAAACTGTGCTTTTGGGAACTGAGTGTTAATGTATTTTTCTATCAGTAAATATAGTCATATTTTTTTGCAGCTAAAGAATGTCAGTTATGTATTTATTTCACCTCTGAATTACCGAGCAGCGTGTGTGTACATTTCACCATCATTTCTGCAGTTTTCTCTTTGTCTGTAAACACCAAAAAAACCCCCCAAACACCAAAAATCCTACCCAAGTTAAGTACAAATGTTTGAATGTCTTCATGTCAAAGATTTAAATGAGTGAAAAGAATGCATGCAAGTCACAATGAGCTTCAAAAAGCTGGAGTGAAAACTGTAGCTACTTTAGTACTCTCTCAGTGTTGGAGTTCCTAAAAAGTACAGATAGCAAAAAACTCTTGTCAAACTTAATACTCCTACATTGGATTTATGGTTCTCTTTTTTCATGTGTTTAAAAATATACGTATTTTTATATGTATATTGGGAAATAAGTCCTCTGCTGAAGAGAGGTGCATCTCAGCAGTGAAGTGAGGGAGTCTTTTTGTGAGGGAAGGTAAAGGATATGTAACTTCTAATCTGTGCTAATAGTGACACTTTGGGCAAACGACAGTGTAGCTTATTATTTAGGTAAAGTAACCTGTAACAGTAAGAAAAACTTTATACTACTGTAACTTAGCACTGCTGGAAAAACTATGGTATATAATCTGCCTTTATTTTGCAATCAAGCACTTGTAAAATAGCCATTAGCAGAATTAATAGGAATGGTGGAAAGCTGCTGTCTTTTCAATGTTTATGCTTGCGGTTTTAAAATATAACATGACAACGATTTTTACATATGAAGTATTAAAGAAGTGATTATTATGATTTTCTGTGATTATGATAATTTGTATTTTATTAAATTTATCTTGGAATACTGTAAATGTTGTGTGAAAAATACTACATATTGTTTCAGTTTTCATTATTGCTGTAATTACTTGAAATATGGGAGCATTCACAATACCAAATAGAGATCACCTTATGAAGGAGAACTTTTTATGAGGCTTCTTAAAGAAATCTGACTTGTTCATTACAGAAAAATATGTGCATCTTAATTATTAACAAGAACACTACTAAGGGGATATGTTGTGTCCTAGCTTTTA